CCTCTGATTGTAGCCAATGAGCATGAGTGTTTAGAGAGCCAATCAGGTGTCATCTTGTTTTGGCAATGAGCCAATCAGATCACAGTAGGATTCAGTTATTGATGTCATGTATTGAAGCTGAGAGGAGGACATTTGTCAGTGTGTTATGTGATCGCTATCAAATTGGTTGAGTTTTTTTTTCTTTCATTTAGTGAGCTTGTAAAATGTAATAAAATTAAAGTAATGGTACAAAGAGTTGACTGGTTGCCCAGAAAGCGATATAAAATACTATTATTAAGTGAACAAGACTACAGTTATAAAGAAATTAGAAGAAAAATTGGCAGAAACTTAACCAAAGGTGGCATTTCTACTCTACACTTTTTTCAAAAGATTTCCACAATTTTGGCCAGTACTGTATAATACAGTGCCCATGAGAACCCTAAGCCCTGCAGCCCTCCTAGATGGTACTAACTCATCCCCAAATTTAAATGAAAAATAGTATTCTAATGTCCAGAATCTTACAAGATAGCTAAAGCTTGGAAAATCTTTTATCTACAACATCACTCAAAGTTGCTGACCACCTGTAAGTGAATAGGGAACCCTGCACTTTTTAAAGTCTTCTAAATGGGAAACCTTGATTCTGATCTTAGAAAGAAACAGTACTTTTGTTATCAGTAGATCTAAAGATTTAGATCTTTAGCCTAAAATTCATTGATAATTGGAGAATGATACAATGTCTTAATGCCAGCGTCCCTGTTTTTCAAGCATTATTGCCTCTGTTTGTCTCTGCTTGGGCATCTACTCATCCAAAGAAGTACTGCTTATCTAAACAGGTTTTGCATTCTCCTCTAAACTTCCCAAATGCTGTCAGGGATAACAATGTGGTTGATTTCTGCAGAATTACAATACAGTATCCTTACAATAAATCATAATTAACAAGTCAGAATATATGCTGAAATAATTTATGTTTCATCATCGATTAATTGTGAGACGTTTAGAGTTGCACCTTGCTTCACTTGAATTTAAAAACCTTATATTAACACCATAATTTTCACAATAAATTTAAAATGTCACTCAGGTAGACTGTGAAGTTAAACTCTGGAAGTTTAATAATTACTAAAATATACCTCATATTTAAAACTGCTGTGTTAATGACAGATACCTGTTTTGGATTGCTCTTGAATGGTGTTCTCTTACAATATTTAAGTGTTTTTCTTACTGTTTTGACTCTGTAAAATAAAGCCAAAATTTACAAATCGTTGATGAAATGTTTCATAAATGTTTTGTAATTGCTCAACAATGTAAAAATATTTTATGTAATTTGGATGTGACTGATCATTGTTTTTTTTTAGAGTTGATAGCCATAAAATGTGAATTGACTCTTATATTCATGTCAGCAAATGTTTGGGGTTGCCTTATTCCTTGTTTACCTATGGTTCCAAATTATTGTTTTATTTCCTTATCCATGACACATATAGGCATCCAAGTGATGGATACTTAAGAGGATATTTAAGGGCAAAAGCCTTTTTTTAATGTGTAACACCAGGTGTGTCCATGGGCAGGAGAGGGGTCAAATAATCAAGATGGCAGATGTGGCTGCACTATCAAAACCTCACCTTTTTAAGCGAAGCAGAATTTCAATCACAAGGCCATAGCCACCATCTAGACTTTTTTCATCCTTCCTGCAGCTCAGTAGGGTTAGTCTAGAGCAATGATTTTTATTGTAAAATAAAGCAAGGCAATATAACAAACAACAAGCGTAACAGATGCCTTTGCTAGAAAGTGTAGTGATTAAAATAAATTGCATACCATTCTGACTAATGTGTTTATTAAATTAATCATGGTAATTGGAGGACATTATGAGTTCTATTCAATAGGCCATAGTTTCCCAGATAATATATGAAGATAATGATCCTTATTCCTTTTTAATTTATGAAGATATCACATTTCACTGTCAGTTTGTTTTTTAATATATGTCATTTTCTGAGCAGGGTGCATGCTTCCTGACATGTTTGTTTTGTTGAGTTAACAGCAACTGAAATCTCATTTAACCATAATTGTCTTATTCTAATTTCCTTCATCTGATAACACTAGAAAATTAATCTCATGCTAGCACTGGCATGCATGCAAGCATCTCGAGTGTTCACTTTGCTGAGATAAATCTCAGCTCTGGGCTTCCTCCCCTTTGATACAATTCTTCATTTTCTTGCTGATAGCCAACAGGCTGGATTCACCTATCACCTCTAAGCCATGATATGGCTTCTTTAGTTTTGGTTTAGCAAAACATTTGTAAATCATGATTTATGTCTCTGCATGATTATGGTTCAATCATATGTTCTTTACTCAATCAACTGACAAAGCAAACCATGGCTGTTCTGCAGGATAGTAGATGGGTCAGCTGGCTTCTATTGGTCAGTATCCAGCATGCTACTCTACCTATATGGATGCTGCTTCCAAATTAGAGTCAAACTGTGTTTTCTGAATGTATTGCTAAAGACATTTGTTTTCCTTATTCAGAAGCAAGCAGAGCATATGTTGGAAAGAGGCATACGTCTTTGTCTCTTTTCAAATTGTGGTCATGAGGAGCATCACTTTGAACAACAGTGGAGAACAAAGAGTTAAATCACTCCTAAATTAGGCCCTTTAGTGCCCCTTATACTTACTTTTCATTAAGAAGGAAAATAAATATATATATGCTTTATATTCAAAGTAACTTTCAATTTGAACCTCTTTTTCAGTGTGAGAAACAGAATTAGAAACCAGAAGTAGTAAAAACAGATCTCAACACTTTCAGATCCACGATTTACTTTAGTTCAGACATGTCAAACACATGCGGCCCGCGATGCGGCCCGCGAAGTGGTTTCATGTGGCCCACAAAGCCATCCTGGAAACAGTGAAGGAACGGCTCCCGCTGCCTTGGCCCTGGCCCAGGCCGGCCGGGAGCCAATGTACAATTTTGTGGTGGCCATCTATGCTGAAATGCATTCAGTCTTAGCTCCACAAGGCCGTCTGGAAACAGCGAGGAACCAGCTCCTGCCGTGTTGGCCCCGCCCCCTGGGTGCATGCTGGGGAGGTGTCACCCTTTGTGAGGAATGAAGAAATGCACCATCGCCTGGAAGTGGCCAGCAAATGGCCCTCGCCTACTTCACATATCCAGCATGATGGGCTCTGCCCTGGTCCCACCCCTTTCTGCCAGAGACCCTCAGATCTGTCCCACTCCTGCCCAGGCCCCCACAGGCACCCTTGATGCGAATGAGCTGGCCACGCCCACCCAGTAGGCCACACCCATTCCATCCATGCCCACCCAGTAGGCTGCACCCACCCTGGCCACACCCACCCGGCCCTCCCTCAATGATGCGGCCCTCAATGAAATTGTGTTTGACACCCCTGCTTTAGTTCAAATATGCACTTCTGGCCCATTTTATCATTTCTTTCAATATATTTCCTCTTCAATATTGTTGTGACAATCCCTCTAAAATTGTGCGACTCAACTATGTGAACTGACACTGCATTTGGAAATAAGCAATTCAGAACTGGTTTCTCTCAGCTATCTGCTATATCTATCTTCATCCTTTGTCCTTTAATTCCCTTAATGTCCCTTAAATCTTTTGTCCATCAAGAGGATGCTTTTGACGCCTGACAGTTTTTCAGAACCATTGATTAGCCTTCCCATTTCCTTGCAGTAGAAGATGGAATTTGTTTCAAAATCCTGCTTTTTCACAAAACCACTTTGTATCTCAAAGAAATTATGGCTCTTACAAATATCTGATTAGAGCTTCATAACATGGATGAATATAAAGACGCACAATTGTCTATAAGCTTTCCCTTGATTTCACTGAAGACATCTGAAACTTTTTTTTTCAGAACTGCTTATACATCTTCATAAGGTGAAATCTATTCATATAATTAACTTCAAAACTGGAGTTCAGTCTTAGGGAACAACCAGGAGGGCCTTTTTATCTTCCTCAGAAACAATTATTTTTAAGGCCACAGATCCACTCAGGCCTACTAGATGTTTATGAATTTCTTCCATGTCTATCAAAAAAATGGAATTCTAATATTCCCAAGAAAAAAAGAAGCAGCTCCCCACCTGTTTTTATTTTTAATAATTTTCACATGTATCACTATTTCCCATACAGTCCACTGATCATATAGAGCAGCCTTTTCCTATTTAGCATAGTCCAGATGTGCTGGGATTGTCACTCCCAGAATTTCCAGCCAGTATGGACATAAAATACCTCAGGAAGGTGCCAGATCAGGGAAATTGAATTATAGTCTCTATACTAGTGCAAACTTAAATTCAGATCCCCCTGCTCATGCTGTGGTTAGGTTCTTATATTGTGCTAAATTATCATGTTTTTATAGTTTATTGTGAACTTAGTGCGGTATGTGAACCAAGTCAAAACAATATCCGAATAACCTTGAATTTTTCAGCAACCTTCACATATAAAGCATGTAATGGCTAAATCATTCTGTAATTATCCATTCCTTGATAAACTAAGCACAGATACTTGTGCCTAAATTTCCTGTGTTTAAACAATAGCTATAATTTATCCTATACTTGTTTTGGCAGCTTATTGCTGTTGAAATCTCAGGTTGCAAGTCACATCGCAATATGCCCTGTGCTCAGCATTTTTAATGATATTCTAAACTTACCACAAAGTTGTTCAATTCCCTGCCAATTCCCCATTAAACTTATTTTCAAATACTAACAAAAAGAATCCATTGTTTTACCTTTCACTGCACCTTCCTGTCTTCAAATCCACTTTCATCCCAATTAGGCAGAATTAATGCCACTAAATTGTTAAATATACCTAGCCAGCACCTTTTATGTCCACATCTGCTCCTCTCCATTGGGAATTTTCTGTGGTATGGGAAGTATATAGAATATTGCTTAAATTCCCTGCATCGGAAAATAAGTTAAAATGATCTTTGCCATTACTCTGAGGAAAGAGTCTAACAAAACTTTTAACAGTGTCATTTCAGGACACTCTTATTCCATTTGTATTTATCTTCTCTAGGCTACAGAGGACAAAAAGGTGAAAGAGGTGAGCCTGGAATTGGCTTGCCAGGTGATCCTGGCCCACCTGGTCCTACAGGTAAAAAACAACTCTTCCTATTCTTGACAATACAACAGTTACATATTAAAAAAAAACTAAATTGAGTTGCCCTGTAATGCATAACCTCTGAAATAAAATTCAATACCCACTGTTGGATGGCTGACTAAAATTAACAAAGCTAATTGCAGTTTCTTGTTTGTTTGTTTATTTGTTTAGTTACTGGTATGCAAGGCCCACCCGGAGCTCCAGGAGAACCAGGTGTGCAGGGACTACCGGGCCGTGTAGGAAGATGCAATCCAGAAGATTGCTATTACCAAGTTTCTCAAAGTCAGTCCCAAAGAACTGGGAAATGAACGCCTATTTTGGATACGTTTTAATTCCTCAGTTATCTTTTCCTCACTTCTTCCCCTACCCCCCCCCCTAACAAATTCTGAAATTTCAGTTTTATTGGTGAATTTCTTTCTATGTATATTTTACAGATCATCTCAGTGGAACATTTCATCCCCAGATTAAGCCAATACTGAGATGTTGTTTTCTTGAGTTCATTCCATATGTTTATACTTTTAGTGTATTTTTCTTTAGCAAAATGTGCATCATGATGGCCTGTTGACTTCTTAATGGTATTTCAGTTTATGATTTTTTTTAAAAAAAAGTGAGTTTCTTACTTTTACCTTTAGCACAGAAGCCATATTGAGTTTTCTTTTGCTGGATGTCTCCTTGCAGTTCCATCTATTAAATGATAAATATGATTTATAATAAAGTAGAATTTTGAAGTTTTTCTAAAGATTTGGCTAAAAATCTAAATAGTGACTGGCATTTTCCTTGCTCCTGTCATTCTAATGCAATATGGTAAGATCTGCAAGGCTTTTTTGAATTATATCTACATTTCTGAATGACCTAAAAGACTTTTGAGCAAGGTTACCATATTTAGGCTGCAAATTTGGAACAACTACAAGACAGTAGCAAAGTGCTCTAGGTATTGCAGATAAAATCTGGCTTTGTTGCATCTGAGTCTCTCTCCCATTAATTGTTACTCAGGGAGAAATGTCGTAAATGCAGACAGCACATAGTAAACTACAACTTAAGTTATATACTCACATTATCGAAAGCTAGTTGTGAGCATGTTTTTTACATTTTCCTCCCTATAAGGAACTGCTTGTAGGGTTTTCCCTGCATATGGGAAAAAGAGCCTGATTATTAGAAGCTAGTTTAGTTCTCAGCGGGACTGCTGGTAATAACTTGTCCTAGTTAAAATATACATTTGTCAGTCAGCTATTCTACAGGGTCTTATATCTAGGTTGATGAATATAGTAATTATAATACTGTGCAAGTCCAATCATCTCCAGTCTATAGTCCTGTCAACACCATTTGGTAAACTAGACCAAATAGCCACAAGAAGACTAGAAGTAATCTCACTTTGTTTTTTCATATAACTTCATTAATTTTTTTAAATGGAAAAAAAATAGAAGTAGCTTTTGTTGAAGTTAGCTACAGCAACAGAATCTTTGGGTCTCGTTCAGCTCTATCTTCCCTTCCCTCCACCCCCACAAAATCAGGAGGTGTCTGCTTAACCCTCTTTTAAATATTATCTTGTTTTCCAGAACTTTAAAAAAATGTTTCAGCCCCCTTTCCTTGCATATTTCTACCAAGGTCATTTTTCTTATTCTCCACAAATCCTTCATCAGGATGTTCCATTGCCTCCAGCCAACATGCTTTTTATAGACAGTGGAGTATTGTTCAGCACTATAGACCTAAAGAACAAAAGATTATAGAAGATTGCACAAATGTAATGTATTTTCAAGGTTTATTGTAATATAATCAGGACATTAGCTCGGGTAAAATTCTGACAGACTCAACAGAGAATTTCTGCAGGTAGTTGTAGTTTGGAAAGAAGTATCTATCATCTTACATCCTGATCAGCGATATTTGTTGGGCTCCTCTTTTTTTATTGAACGGGTAGGAAAATAAGATGTTCAGAAGAGCAGCTGAAATCAGCAATCCCACTCAGCTCATATATATTGACATAAGATAGGCTAGGTGGCAGTACACACAACTTTTCTCTGAAAAATTCAGGGATTGAAGCAGATTCCCATTTCATTTATCTTGAGGAGAAGATGTTTGTATAAAGTGAAGTTAAATAAACAGAGATACACAGTAGCATTAGTTAATGAATAGCATTGGCATTTAGGACTAATGAAAACAATGGCCGTCCCCTGGATTAATTTCTATTTTAAGAAATTAACTGGACTTTTTAGCTCTTCCTGGAATAGATTTATCTATATCAAATCTATTTTTTTAAAAAAAAAAAAAAGAAGAAGAAGAAGATGTAACTGAGAACCTATAGTGGGCAATTTGTTGGCAGCTGCAGCCCATAGTAGAATGGCTAGTGCTATAATTTATTCTAAATGTGTTCTGAAGTTGTATCATTGTCCTGTTTTGATGGAGCAAAAGGACATCTATATTTCAGTACTGTAAGATGGACTGCTGGATAGCTATAATGTTTGGCAGGATTTTGTTTTGAGATGTTAATCTTGTTTTATTTAAACATTTCTAGTGATTCCCAATTTAATTCAGATTTTCATTTTTTTTTAATTTAGAATTTATTTTATTTAAACCTTGCTATGAGAATATCTATATTTTGACAAGCTTCTGTAAAATGTCACATTTTGGAAATATATAGAGCAGCTGAGATTATATATAATATGACGCTTTGTATATATTTTGACTTTTCACTGAGTGAAATAGAAATTATAAATTATTTAGCATTTTACATAAAAGTAAAAGTATAATACTTGAATTGATCAGAAAAACAAAACATTTATATATTTTGGAAAAAATACATTCAATTCATATTGCTTTTATTTTTATTTGCCTGTGTTTGGTAATTATATTTCTTAGAAAAATCATTTGTTCTGGATTTTATTAGGTGATTGGGATAAATGTAAGTTTTTTTGCTCTTGGTTTCCTTCCTGGGAAAGGAAACTGTTGAAGATATTGTGTAGCTTTGTACAAGAAACAGGCCAAACTTAAAGATTGCTTAAAAACTTCCATGAATTGAAGTACATCAAGATTTCTGTTCTTATCCTTAACACCTACATTTGTGTGTGTATATGTCAAATTTCAGTTCATTTTCACATTTTGAAGAGTGTATTGCTCTTTAAACCCAGATAACCTATTTTGTTTTTCTAGTGCCTTCGCATAGTTTTTAAATAATAAAGTTTATTCTAATATTTTATTAAAATAAATTAGTTATTAGTCTGAGCAGCCTATTTGAACTATGGCTAGTGATATTTTGAGGCATGCGTATTTTTATTGCTTGTGTGCCACACAGCAGGCAGCTGTAATAACTTTACATTTAAAAAAAATATTTTCTTTCTCTACCAGTAGAGTCAATCATTTCTGAAACTATTAAGTGATACTGAAATCATAAACTGAAATACAGAGGATATATTCAGATAGAATGCTACAAATCAAACCTCTATGGAGAAAAAAAAGGGTATTTTCGTATTTATGCACCCTTTTAAACAGGCTGCAAGAACCAATAGGAAACTAGTGGATGTCATACTACTGTCTATGGATCTAAGGCAGGGGTGTCAAACTCGGAACGTCACGTGACGTGTGGCGCCGTATCGTGACTTTTCTTCCATTGCCGGCAATGGGATGGGCACGGTTTTGCCATGATGTATCCGGCCCGTGGGCCGGCAGTTTGATACCCCTGATCTAAGCTCTGTGAACAAGACCAAGTGATTGAATGACAGAAGTCTTACATTGGAGCATCCACAGTTAGTCTACTTCTGCAGATGGAATCCATGTACACAACCACTTAGTAAATTGTAAGCATGGAAGTTGGGACATTCAATTTAAGAATGGACTCCAGCAAAACTACACACAGAATTAGGAGTCTCTTTTTAGATCTATCTATCTATCTATCTATCTATCTATCTATCTATCTATCTATCTATCTATCTATCTATCTATCTCTTTTCCCCCATTTCCAGAAAGAAAGGATTATTATTACACCGGTACACGATATGTCCTTGAATCTGGAATAATGAGGGCAAATTTTATTGGAAGCGCCTCAATTTACCCTAGGGTATCTTGCACTGATATCTCTCAAGATACACAAAAGCTGCTTTCTTCTCTGTCCCCCAACACTTTTTCTGTTTCTTAGCCAATTACTAGAACTTTGTAGCATGAAGCACTCCTTCTTTTTAACTTATGAATATAATTTAATAGAGTTTGAACTCTATAAATGCATATGACAGGAAACTGTGCACTAAATAATAAATAACCTTGTTCCAAGTTTCCTTTTTTTTTTGTCTTTACGAGATAATATATTTATTTTATTTTATTTGGTCTTAGAGTTAATGTATAAATAAGGGAACAATTCAGGCAAGGTTATATTTGTTTGTTTTTTTCCCCTTTAAGTCTCATTGTTTTCATCAGGAGATAAGCAGATGTTTTTATCTCCCCTTTGAATCAAAGGGATTTGATAAAGCTTATCTTTGGCTGGATAATCTGTATTCTGTATTTTTCTGTATTTTTCCACCCCTCCGGAATAGTTTGAACATATCATCATTTATTTAACGTAGTTTGTACATAATAGGGTAACAAAGCCTTGGGCACAATCTTGCCCCTTCCACATCTGCATCTTGTATAAATGGGGTGGAATCCCTACTGGGTTCTGTGGATCCCCACTTTGTTCCACATTTATTTATGGGAGCAGTATGCATTTCAATCTTTACATAAATAAAAATGCCTTGATAACGTTGTGGAAGCTTTATGCTATTTATCTCAGATATTAAATTTTAATATCAATATTTTTATATAAAAAGTTGATTTGGTTTTAGCTAATATATACCTGGGTGTTTGCTTTCCTTGCCTTTAATTTAGCTTACACTTTTATTACCACATGCAAATGTGTTTGATATAAATACATACCTCTGATAACCATTAAGAAAACACAGGCCGTTATGATGATGGTTTTAAGCTTTCAACTGCAAAAGTTTTTGAATGAATTTTAAAACTGTAAGGAAAGATGATAAATAAAATAGACCAAATGGATGTACACATTTTACAGGAACCAAAATGAATGTCATAATCTAACAATGAAAGGTGCTTAATTCTCTGATCTTTTGAATTTGAGCAGGCTTACTTTACTGATAGATTATGATCTAGGTGCATTGTTGGTGTTTTCTTTTATAAAATACAGATGCGTTTAAATTATTTTCTGAACTTTTCTATGTAAATATTTATTTATCTCATGTGCTCATAACAATTGATGGAAGCATATTTCATTGTTGCCTTTTCATTACTGAATAATATTGCCTTATTATTGTTCTTACATCTCTATTTTTGTTTTCTTCAAATCTACAAGTGAGAACTTCACTTGTTTGCATATGTTAACTTATCTGCTTTGGTCTTAAATGAATTTTGAATAGCACTGAACTGAACCCGACAGATTTTTGTTTTGTTTTGTTTTGTTTTTGTGTGTGTGCATTTATAATAATGAACATGTGGTTATTTATTTTTAAAATCAGCCACATTTAATTTGTAGTTGGTTCAGAATTTTATAAAATTCAATTTCAAAAGTTTTGATAGAATTTGTATTTCCACTTGGTTTATATTGTTAAATTTCATTCAGCAATTTCCATTATATTTCATTCTCTTATCAGTTTCTTCTGTTGTTTATTTATGTGACTGCTATGTTTAAAATAAAAATTAACCGTTGGAACCACAGGTTTAAGGCTGTGTTTCTTCCTATATGCTACCCAGCTCCTAGGCAAATTATTTAATAGATTCTAGAGCATTTGTGAGTGATAGTGTATATAGTAGTGTAATCTGAGTACTTCGCTCCATAAATATTACTAATTAATTTATAACACAATGTCAAACATCTTGACTCGGAAGGAACATTCATTGAATTCCACAGATTTACTCCTAGGTACAAAGGTGAGTATATAATTACAGCATCAGTTTACAATTCATGCACTTTTATACATAGGAAATTGATATTTTAAAATGCTTAAGAGGGGCGGAAGTAGTTTTCATGAAACCATTTTCTCTACAGACTGTTGGCAGGTCTATTTTGCTGCTGGAGGACAAAGGCATTATATATACACATAGACTCGTATATACATGTGCACATACATACATATATATAGAATTATATTGTCATTGCATATTAGATTGCAACTGGTAATTCCTATCTGATGTGATAAGTGACAGGTCAGTATACACATATACACATGGGCAAAATCAGATCATTCTTCTGCATTGGGCTTGAGTTATTTTTCTATCTGTCATCAATCACAGTAACTGGCACTTGCCACCAACATGTAGACTTTTCTTAATTTGTAAGAACTATCTCAATTACTGGGATAGCATTATGATCATTGGTGTATTTTGTATGCTACTTGTAAAACAAGCAATTTACAGTAATTTAGCAAATAAATTAGCTTTAACAAGCAGAGAGCTCTGGACAATACTAACTTGAGGGATCCACTGGAATAAATAACCAGGAAGGCATAGGTGAAAATAACCACATAGTTCATTTTCAGCACACAGAAACTAGACAAAAAGAAACAGGAAATGTGGAATTTATTATTTTAAAAGGGTACTTTTATTTTTGAATTACAAGTGACAGATCATGTGATTCATAAAATTGGGATAATTATAATGGATGTCTGTTTCATGAAAAAAATAAAACTATACTCAAAATACAATTTTTGGAGGATGTTATGTACTTGTTTTTTACTACTTCGATTTTTTTCAAAGAGAAATAAAAAAATGCTCTTTGTTTTACTTTCATTTACCTTTTATAAACATTCAAAGGATTAAGTAATGTTATTTATTTCATTTGTATACAACCAGAGATAAAGTACTTATAAATAAATAAACTCAGCTATAAATTTTAACTGTTCTCAAAGATTAAAAATCCTTTCACAGTGGTTTAACTTCCTGATGTTTCAAATAGAGCAGAAAACTAAGTTTATTTCACCTGACATATTCCTGATAAACCTGGCACTGAAGCACTATATATATTCCTTATTCCTCAGAAATTAGCACTTTTAAAAACAGGGTGACTACATCTAAATCTCAGTGACATGCAAAGAAAGTTCAGTTAGCTACTTATAGCACTAAAATGGGCCCTAGAGAGAGAAAGGAAAGCAATCGGGATAACTTACTGTTTTGATGCATTAGAGATGGCTGTTATGTACTCTAATTTTGTAAGACAGTACTTTAGGAACCCCCAAAGAACTAACAGCTGGAAAACAGCTGCCTTTTATCACAATTCAAAAAAGGAAAACCACTTGGCATCACTTTGAAAGCACCATTTTGAAATGTTTTAAGTGTCTTGTATTGTTTTAGGAAACAGACGAAGGGGTCAACCAGAACATTTAGATCTGTCAAGGCCTCGATAAGATTTGCTGTATTTTTTACAATCTAATTTTTCTAGACTGTTTCTCTCGGTAGTTGGTAGATATCTGCAGATCAAAGATGGCTTCCAAAACATCCTGTCATTTAGTGCAATGCTGCATTTTTTCATGGCCCTTTCACATTCGGCCCTCCTTGTAATCCAGCTTCCATGGTACAAGCTGATGGTTCACAAAAACCAGGAGGACCTGGAGGGCCAGTAGGACCTGGAACACCAGGGGATCCAGCGGCTCCAGGCGGGCCTCTCTCACCATCTCGCCCATCAGTGCCATAACTGGGCTTGCCGGGTTCTCCTGCAAAGACAAAAACCAGGCCATAAATTCAGAAAAAGAACCTAATATCATTTTTGTTGTAATTTTAAAAGTCTTATTTGCAAGGATGATTGCATCAGCCTTGGTCTCTCCTGTGAACCCAACCCCATGTAGAAGATGCAAAGTATTAGTGGAGGCTCTCTACACAACTGGGACTTCTGGAAAAGTGAATCTCCAAAGCCTTAACACAGGATACTTGTTGCTATAGACCAATGTTTTTCAAACCTGGCAACTTTAAGACGTGTGGGCTTCAACTTCCAGAATTCTTCAGCCAGCATGTTAGTTGGGAAATTCTGGGAATTGAAGTCCATGCGTCTCAAAGTTTTCAAGTTGGAAAACGCTGCTATAGACGGTCTTCTTCTGTATGAAAGGGGAAGTTGGGTTCTCATTTTCCTTCTTTACTAAGTCAATAGGGAGTAGGTTTCTCCAATGAGAAAACGCTTTCACCATCTGGATTTATCACACTAGATAAAATGCACATCCAACCATCCCTGTTTGTAAGCTATGGTCTAATAGTTCACCCTAATATACAAAGACACCGTCAATTGCTTTTCACAAGTGATCCATTGTGCCTGGAATGATCAATTTGACAAAGGCGGACAAGGAGTTGAAAAGTGACATAGACAACATAAGGGAAAAGAAGAGGGAGAATGTCTGCTAGGAAAGTAAAGCAAAAGAACACATTTTACTTTTAATGCAGAGAAACATAAAGGGGTTATTTGCAGAATTATTCATAATACAGTGTTTTAGAAGTTACCATAAGGTTATTTTTACTATGCCAAATTATTTGTATTCTACTGGCCACTAGAGGGCACTTTTGCTTCAGTTATGACCAATGAAGACTTTTGCAGAGCCTTCCCCCCCATTCCCACTATATCCCCAATGCAGTACTCAAAAGCTGAACTTCAAAATGCTGCGCCACCAAAATCAATTTAAACGATTTGCAAATCCTCACACAACTCATTTTAAGTGGAAACATATAGTGGTATTTTTAATTTATTCAATGTGTGCTTGGTCCTTGTCTCATGCAATTTTGCATACTGTGCTGTTATGACACAATGGAAACTGATTTTAATACTTTTCTTCTATCGCCTCTTGGCTTTCAAGCTGATTTTTATTAAAGTGTAAATCCTCAGTTTTCCCCACCATGATAAAGGTGTAAAAAGCAACATGAGAAAAAAAATATGATAGCAGTTAGGTTGCAGGAACCATAACCTTAGGTCTAACTGGCTTTTTAAAAGAGGTACGCACTGGCAGAGTTGACACACAATATTTAAGCCAAGATGTTTCAACCAAGGTTTGTTAAAAAGAATGGTCAACTTTGCACAGATTCCTAAATCATAACGAGCGGGTTAACTCATGCTAATCCAAAACAGCCCCTTATGGCTTGGCATTAGATATCAATCAAGTAAAGTCACCTATTGCGATAGAGACTACAAAACTGCAACAGAAAAGGAGGCAAAAAAATTAGGGTAGAGGGGAAAATGCATGATAGGTGTGTTTGGCTGTGTAGAGAGAGAGCAGCACTCAATCTTCAAAGCAGATGCTTTTATTTCCAGCAGTGTGTTAAATGGGTTTTTTTTAATGTGAAATAGTTTGGTCATTTCTTAGATGATCCAGAGAGCATCTTCAGTGCTTACCAGGGAGTCCTGTTGTTCCTGGCAAGCCTTTGGGCCCTTGACCTGGGAGTCCTCTCTCCCCCTTTTCACCTGTGTCACCTAAAATAAAAATCAAGAAAACAAATGTTTGTTTTATTGTACGTATGTTTCCTACCTCCTTGCATCTTTAAAACATTTGCGTACTACCTGTTGTTTAAAATTTCCCATTAGGGTACAATCAACCGTAACACGTCCTTAAAACTATTAAAACGAGTCAAGAAGACTTTTTGGGCTAGAAAAAGTCTGTGAAGAAAGTGTCATTGGTGATAAAGTCTCCTCTGTTCTGCTATGGCTTTGATTAAGGAGGTCACCGGGCCAGAGATTAAGGCGCCTATGTCAATGCTCTTAAATGTTTATGGTGGATGCTTTTATCAAGGCACCTGAAAAAGGCTTTGAGAACACATCTTAAAGCCTGGTGGGCTTTCGGATATATCTGCTTCCAGCTATTTACAGCAGGGGTCGTCAAACTTGGCCCTTTTATGACTTGTGGACTTCAACTCCCAGAATTCCTCAGCCAGCTGGCTGAGGAATTCTGGGAGATGAAGTCCACAAGTCATAAAAGGGCCAAGTTTGAAGACCCCTGATTTACAGTTTTAAAAATAAATCCCTAGTACCTTGAATTTAGCCTAAAAGTGAATAAGCTGGCTAATCTATATGGTTAAATGCAGGCCTCTTAGTCATGTTTATAAGATCTGAAAGTTTTAATAATACTGTAAAGTGAAATACACCTATTTTCTAATTCCAAGACTTTGATTTATTTATTTATTTATTTATTGGCAGTTTAGTTTTCTTTTTCATTAAACTCTGCTCCTTTTCTCCGTTTCACGATTTCTAAGAGTGCCTGTGTTTCATTGCAATTAGTAAAAGTGGGTTTCTATGCCTTACATCCTATTAAGCATAAAGGATGCTTTGATTTTTATCAGGAATAGTTAACCAATGCCAGAGGAATGTAAGGGCACTCTGAAACAGCTGATACTGCAGATCTTCAGTTCCCTGCAATGCTGACAACCAGAAAAGGCCATTTGGTTCATTAAATCAGAATAGTTTTGTTTAGCTGTGGGAGACATTACAGAGAATAGACATTTTCCTTCCTTTTCTAGTGTTCAGCATGGAGGCTGCCCTAATGGGAGCCCAGCGTCCTTCCTGAAGCTGCTCCTGCCTGTTTTAGAATTTCCTTTCCTCCTGGCTTGCTTTGGAGAATTGCTTAGAGCCCTAGACGATGGAGACTGAACTGTCATTAGGAGGAATGCTGTTAAAACATTATAGATTTTATTATATAACCTATAGGCCACTCTTGCCAGGACACATTCTTCTGGAAGCATTACATTTCTCACCTATTCCTGTCTTTTGTAACTGTGAGTTATAAAATGCAGACTTTGCATTCTTCCTTTGTGCAGGTTAATTAGCTGCTATTATCATGCTGGCTTACTTTATTTTGCCCACTCATTCACATTCTCCTTCTTTTAGGTATATCATGCTTTTAGGTGCTGATTACTGTGTGCCAGTGTAATTATCTTGTAGGGTTGTCAGAGAGCAAGTTATTTTGGTCTAAAGCTTTGTTAATTTTCACTTCTTCTCTCTCCCCCTTTTAGCCACCTCTGATCTTTGAGTGTGAGAACTATTTCACAGAATTAGTTTCCTCCAGCAGATATACATTCATGTTGAGCCTGGACTGTGGTTTACTTGGAAACCAAATGCTATTTATCATGCCACTGCATGGTGCCTTTGGAAATGTCTTTAGTAGCATGTCAAATTTTACTTGTTGGATAAAATACAAAGTTGCCCACTAAGCTACGAATGGATATATCCTAAACAGGTTGAGAATCTCCAGACATGATTAACATCTACCCTGAGTAGATCGTCAGAAATTAATTCTACCCATTGCAGAATTTTATACCCTTGCAGCCAAACATAACTCAGATTACATTAGGGAAATAGAATATTATCTACATATTGGTGACATCTCACTTCATCTGCCGGATGAGCTCACTCAACAGCTGAATAAGGAGAATCAAATAACTGGACTCCATAAAATTTAATAAACGGGTCACAATAATAACATATCTGATGCACAAATCAATATTCTGAATTTCTCACCTTTGGGACCTTTCGGCCCAGTGTCACCGGGAGGGCCTTTAAGACCAGGCGATCCCCGGGATCCAGCTTGTCCTGGGAAGCCACTGTCTCCTGGAAGTCCAGGGGAGCCTGGTGGGCCAGGTGGGCCTGGGATGCCAGGATCCCCAAATTCAGGCCTCCGAAGACTAGCAGCCATCTGTGCAAATTGTTCTGCTCAAGGAAAAGAATGAACTATTGAAGTTCATGAAGACTACTTCCACACCATCCCTTTCTCCCCTCTGCCTTCTCTCTTAAGCAGTTTGCGGGCAAGCTGCAAACTTATCTTCCTTTCGTGATTCATGAAGCGAACTATGTCATTCGCTTATAGTCCTAGTATGAATCGCAAGTGCTGTGGCAAAATAAAAACTAAAGTCCCCCTTCCCCTCACAAAAAAAGAAGAAAAGAAATGAAGAAAACCGAACAGCCTAGGCCAGGGGTAGGCAACTTTGGCTCTTTGATGACTTGTGGACTTCAACTCCCAGAATTCCTGAGCCAGCCATGCTTGCTCAGGAACTCTGGGAGTTGAAGTCCACAAGTCATAAAAGAGCCAAGGTTGCCTATCCCTGGCCTAGTATTTGACATTAGGCTCATCTCCTGCTTAAAAAGGGGGGAAAGGGGATGTCAGTGTCAGTCCTCTTGAGATCAGGGGTGAGAAGAGCTACATGCATTGTTTCAAAGCTCTGCAAAAGAAAATATTGAAGTTACAGCAGAAAACTGAGCTAAAGATAAGTCAGTTTTCTAATAGCAATAGTAATTGAACTCCTAGCTGTGGGCAGAGTTAGCCTGCAATAACGCATTCTGATCACTGCAACACTGCATCATGGCTCCTAGCATTTTGGAATGGCAAAACTCCACATCTGATTTCAAAATGGTGGAAATCATTGGTATATAACTTTCCTAAGTTCATTTATAAATAATGTATTATTATGAAATTTTCTATTGTTATAAATTGGTTGATGGTATACAGATTACTGCTGGTTGTTCACGTAGCAAGAAGTCAAGTGAGAGTGAGATTAAGGCTTCCCTTCTGAGAGGGCCTTATTTAAAACAGCTGATTTCCCTCTTCAGAATCTGGGATCCTAAAAGGGCAAAGCTTCAAGGCCCCTTCTCCCTCAACAGGGAGGGAAGAGGTAAGTCTGATAAGGTAGAGGTAAGGTAGGAAGTAGGAAGAGGTAAGGTAACTAGCAATTGATGTCCCCCCCCCCCGAGATAAAAAAAATCAGCTTCCATCTAGTAGACTGATTTTTGCCCTCCGGTTCTGAGACTGTTGGTGAGGTCAGTCCAGTGGCATTGACGCTATGTGATCTCGGGAATTTCTGACCACAAGGGAGCCCTGAGCAGTACGTAAAGATTTGCTCCATATTCCTTCTTTGTCTGTCATTCTGACTGACAAATTGCTAATCTGAGGTCTCTTTCTTTTGCCTTTCTTCCTAGGCCTATGCATGGAGTACATCCTGGTAAGATGTAGCTTGCTAGATTCTAGGCCAGCGGTTCTCAACCTATGGGTCGCGACCCCATTTGGGGTCGATCGACCATTTCACGGGGGTCGCCAAGCAAGGCTATCCGCCATTTTTTTCCCTTTTCCGGCGGGTGCCTTACCTCCCTTGGGCTGGGCCAGCTGGTGGTTGGCCTGCTCCGTCTCTGCCGCTTGCCAGCTACGCCTCGGCCGGTGCAGGGGGCGGAACCACGCATGCACGGTGCTCCCGGGCAGGGAAAGTCCTCGACTTACGACCGGTTTAGTCCTCGACTTACGACCGGTTTAGTCCTCGACTTACGACCGGTTTAAGTCCTCGATTTATGACCGGTTTAGTCCTCGACTTACGACCGGTTGGGGGTCGCGGCATTAAAAAGGTTGAGAACCACTGTTCTAGGCTGTGTCATCCCTATGATCTATTCCTGGTAAATGGATCTCCTTTCAGTTATAATAATAAAACTTGCTTCATTAATACTTGCTTAAATCAGAATATTGCTCTGAGATAGAGATGGATGGATGGATGGATGGATGGATGGATGGATGGATGGATGGATGGATGGAGACAGAGGAGAGAGAGAGAGAGAGAGAGAGAGAGAGAGAGAGAGAGAGAGAGAGAGAGAGAGAGAGAGAGAGAGAGAGAGAGAGAGAGAGAGAGAGAGAGAGAGAGAGAGAGAGAGAGAGAGAGAGGGAGAGACGGAGAGACGGAGAGACAGGGAGAGGGAGAGGGAGAGGGAGAGGGAGAGGGAGGGAGAAAATAGGTGCTCTGGCCCCAAGTTGCAGCCTTTCCATTTTAGAATAATTGATACTGACAAGGGAGAAGGAAACATTTATCTTGGTAGCAAAGGCATATTGGAACGGGAAATGAATGTAGTCCTCTGTTGGGCAATTTAAAAAACAGTTGCACTGAGAAGGCTTCAAATTAAATCACAAAGAGCAATAAAACCTCTTAAACTTCAGAAATACAACACTGTAACGTCCCAGCAGATCTCAGTAGCAGCCTCTAGCAAGCTATTTTTCCACAACAATAAAATCCCAAACCACGAGTACAATAATGCATCAAGCAAGAATCAAATCTATGCTGTTAACATGTTTATGTGTATTAATAACTGAAGAAGCAGAGTTCTTATTATCTGCTCATTACATATACTATAGGGGAAAGGCTGGTTATTCTGGGGCTGAGCCCTCCAATTTCTATGAACTGCTGTACGTGACACAAACATTTGAAATTTTTACCTGTTTATGGAACGCCATAAAATACAACATTAGGTAAAAGCAACATTGTTTATGATTAATGTATTTACATGAATTATAGCAGGATTGAGGGGGAAAGGGAAGTTCTTTTACTTAACACATATTCCTACTTATTGGAATAACCTTATACCCTGGCAAAGGTCCTAGGTTTCTGTTGAACATACCAATTTCTCTTTCCCAGAAAGCATCCTGAAACACAGGTCACTAATCTATCTAGGTTTGGCTGCTAGTTTCAGATGAGAGTTTATTCTTAGCCCTCCCTAGAGATTTTGGGATTGAATTTGCAAACATTTGCATGCAATGTATATGTTATGTTCTTTTTTCGGTGATCTGACAGCCACCATAACAAGAAAGAATGAATGATTATTTAGCAATTCCAAATATAATCCTATTAGTTTAAAAACACAATCACAGAATCAATTTTCCATGAAGAAAATTTCCACAGAGAATATCTATGTGTGTGAGTGAGGCAGAGAGAGAGCGATCTAGAAGCTTAAGTATGTGTTTCTTGGAGAAGAGTTTAATTTTTTCTTAAGAAATGAATTGCTATTATCAACTCCTTGTTTTTAACTACATCTCTTCAAGAATCATAATTCTGATGGCAAAATTGTGTTCAACTGTGTAAATAGTTTAATGTCTTGATCATTTTCTTTCTGCTCACTACCAAGTAAGATTCTATGTGTTACAAGAGATGTATCTAGATATGACTTTACTGGCTGCATTTAAGTTTGTTTTTTGTTTTTTTAAAGAGATTCTCATTTTTTTTCCCCTTCATAGCAAACTTAGAAAAGCATATACCGTATTTGCTGGTAGCATGTTCCATCTAAAACTGGAACTTTGTACTGGCACTGTTATAAATCAGTCACACTATTTTTTTAAAAAAATAGTCCTTTCCTTTAGTCCTGATTTTCCCTGAGCATGGAGGATCTTGCCTAAAAAGGCATTCTGGAGAATTCAAAAGCTCACAATTATTATAAAATGTCAAAATGCCTAATAAATAAGTGCTCCCTCTGTGGATCAGTTGAGCTTCGAATTAATTTCATTTATTACTGTATTTATTTATTGCCTTAGTCTCGAGAGCTCTATGCAGCACATAGTACCTGGTAGGATAAAACATACCTGGTAGGATAAAACATGTTTTATCCTGGTAGGATAAAACATCTACACAATAGCCCTGAGGAATAGGTTGGGTTGTGTGAGAGAGTGATTGGATTTGATAGAGAAGGAAATCTGAATCTGAGTTTGTACACTCAGATCTTGCACTTCAGCTTTTATAGTCAGTAACTCAGCTGGATTTAAAAAAAACTAATGTAAGACAATGCAGGGTGGAAATGAATGCAAGAGCTGACAAAACAAAACATGCATGCATGCATGAAATTGTAGAGTTAACTATACATGCAGATAAACTCATGACCAAACCTTAAAAATATATAAGTAGAATATTTTTATTTACCTTGTATTACTCTCATGCAAACCTGCTTAATATGCAGATCAGTCGGCTCTCTGCCCTGAAACAAACACAGCATTAAAATAACAGTGATTGTGTGAGGAGGGAGTAGATGGGACTATAAACAGTAAAGGGAACAATTCTGCAGCTGCAAGCATATTTTCAAGCCTGCAGATTGAAGCAATTCCAATAACACAAGGTTCAGAAAGCCAAGAACGAGAATGTAAGCCATTATAGGATGCTGGGTGCGTCCTTTGTGCTGCTTCCTAGCACCTTACTTCAAAAAGGAGACCACCAGAAGAAGATGGGAGCTGAGCATGTGGGGCATGAGAACAGAGGCAAGAAGGGACACTCCACAGAGCCTGGCACACCACCTGAGTAGGAATCTCTGTTGGTCCAACTCAGCATCTTGCTTAAGAGGTGCAAAGAGTTCTTATCGCTCCCTTTGCCTATTATTGCAGGTTCAAGTTCATTATCACACAAATCCAAGTGCACTGTAGCGGGGGAAAAAAAGCACCTTCACGGATGAATGTCAGCAAGGGACAGTTTTAAAAGTGAAAAGCATAGTGGTTAAGGAACTGTTATTTTTCCCAATGAAAATAAGTGCATTGACTGTGCTGGGGTAGGACCTTCTCAATGGCAATTGTATTACTCAGAGTCTAGGATTAATTCTCAAAGGTGGATTGCCTGCCCTGTTTCACTTTACGGATTTAGTTCTGTCTGCTCTTTCCTGTTGCCTACACAAAGTTACCGAAATATATTTCATTAGTGGTTCCAACTGTTTCCCAAAACTCTTATGTTGCCATGTGTAAATTCAGCTGAAAGAATATTATGGCTGACATCTGAGATACTTTAGATCGTAGAGGATCCAGAACACTAATAGATTCACAATGGACCTGTTAGAAATATACTGTAGGTTCGCAAGTGAGGCTACAACTGGGGCAGGTCAAGTTTCCCCGGAGAGGTGGAGAGAGTCACCCTCAAGCTCCATTTGCAAAGCACAAGCCATCTATGATCCTTGAGATCCTTCTGGAGACCCTTAAAGACCCAGCCAATTGCTTCACTTTCAGACTTTTTCTTCAAAGTCTTGAAATGTATTGGCAGTGTAGGGGCTTGTCAGAACCCCTTGCCCAGGATGCAGAAGGTCTCTGGAAGTGATCTCTGTGCTAAATTAAAGGTTTGGGCAAAAAAGAAGGTCTTCGACCCTCTTGCAGTTTGTAATGTGCTGCTTTAGCTAGGACAGCACTAGTGGAACACTCCACACCCAGCCAATCAAGGATGGTGACAAAAAAAAAGATAACCTAAATTCATAGCTAAATAGGCCGTGCTAGCAAGCCAAGGAGTATGAAATACATTCTTTTTCCTGCATCTGTTCTTCTATAATACTGGAATTGCACTTGCTAGGGCAGGGTAGGCAACCATGGCTCTTTTATGACTCGTGGACTTCAACTCCCAGAATTCCTGAGCCAGCATGGCTGGCTCAGGAATTCTGGGAGTTGAAGTCCACGAGTCATAAAAGAGCCAAGGTTGCCTACCCCTGTGCTAGGGCAAAGCTCATATTGTAAAAAGAAGCTGTCACTTACCGCTGGTCCCTGGCTGCCAGGCAGTCCCGGAAGCCCTTGTTCCCCTTGCAAACCACGGGGGCCAAGTGGCCCACGAAGTCCTTCTATGCCAGCCATGCCACGGTTTCCTTCTGGCCCACGTGAACCAGCTTCACCAGGATTCCCAACCTGACAAAGATGGGGACAAGAAATAAACAGCAGACTCCTCCCTTGTAGAAACGACTTTCCTTATATTATTCCAGGAATCGGCCCATAATTAAAGTTTAGCGCACCAGAACAACTCTGGTTCCTTCTTCGTGAGATTTATGTTTTTAAGAAGAGACTGGACAGCCATCTGTCCGAAATGGTGTAGGGTTTCCTGTCTGAGCAGGGGGTTGGACTCGATGATCTCCAAGGTCCCTTCCAACTTTATTATTATTATTATTACTATTATTATTATTATTATTATTATTATTATTATTATTATTATTATTATTATTATTATTATTAACCTTGTTCAATGCTAATGGGAGCTTGCTAAATGAGAAGGCTGTTTGATAAACAGGCAATGAGTGCTGTTTTCTTTTATCTCCTTGAAGGTAAGTTCCAGTCAATCTATAACAGTGAAGGCGAACCTTTTAGAGACCGAGTGCCCAAACTGCAACCCAAAACCCACTTATGTATCATCGGGTGCCGGTTGGGCGTGGCCCATTGGGTGGGTGTGGCCAATTGGGTGGGCGTAGCCCATTGGGTGGGCGTGGCTGCGGTGGTAACGGCAGACTGGGTGGGACTAAAAAGTTCAATCAATCAATTCCAACTTTGCGAGATCTTTTTTTTTCCTGCGAGAAGTTGAAATTGATTGATTGATTGAACTTTTTTTTTTTTTTTGCACACGACGGCGGAGGCCTAAAGCGAAAAGGTTTTATAAAACTCAGCTTAAAAACCCACTTGCCCGGGGATATTTTGATGCAGGTTGCTCACGGACGGGACATAAGGCCTTGGACTGGGGCGATGGCACGCGTGCCCATAGAGAGGGCTCTGCATGCCACCTATGGCACGCGCACCATAGGTTCGCCACCACGGATCTATAAGATTCATTCCCAGACATGTAGATTTCCACCTACTAGTGACTATATACCCTTTTCGGATCTGCTGTCATGGCACCATAACATTTCACAATATTTTTGATCTGCAATTCTAGAAAGAAGTCCTAGGAGAGAGAAACAACCTGAAAATCTGATGTGGCACCTTACATTTCAGTGTTTTTTTATTATTGTTATTATTTTGATGGAGGCTGGGCTCTTCTCTTAAACCAGAAAAGAAGCTTCCGCATAGCAAGTAGCATTTGATTTCCCCTGTCCCCACAGGCATCTGTGCAGTGAAACATAATTTAAGCAATATGAATCCCCGAAGCAATTCCAAACTCCTGTCTTTGCACAAATCCTATAAATATATTAAATATTTAAAAACAGCTCAACCACCCGAAAGCTATAAACTACAAGGGCGTTTAAGCTTGTCATTTTTTTGTATTCTATTAATATTACTGTCAAGGAAAGAAATATTAGACAAGATAGAATTTGGCCGTATAAGCATTTGAGAGGGCGGTGAGCTATTTCTCTTCTTGGGGAAAAAGAAAATTAGGATGGTACAGGGAGTCCTCAACTTACAACCACAATTGAGCCCAAAATTTATGTTGCTAAGTGAGAAACTTGTTAAGTGAGTTTTGGCCCATTTTACGACTTTTCTTGCCACAGTTGTTAAGTGAATCACCGCAACTGTTAAATTAGTAATACGGTTGTTAAGTAAATCTGGTTTCCCCATTGACTTTGCTTTTCAGAAGGTCGCAAAAGGGGATCACATGACCCTGGGACACTGCAACAGTCATAAATACAAGTCAGTTGTCAAGCATCCAAATCACATGACCATGGTCATAAGTGTGAAAAATGGTCATAAGTCATCTTTTCCAGTGCTGTTGTAACTTTGAACGGTCACTAAATGAACTGTTGTAAGTTGAGGACTACCTGTATTGTTGCAAGCTGCAGAGGAAGGGAGGGAGGGAGGGAGGGATAGAAGGAAGGAAGGAAGGAAGGAAGGAGGGAGGGANGGAGGGAGGGAAAGAAGGAAGGAGGGAAGGAAGGAAGGAAGGAAGGAGGGAGGGAAGGAAGGAAGGAAGGAGGGAAAGAAGGAAGGGAGGGAGGGAGGGAGGGAGGGAAAGAAGAATAGGAGACATGGCAGTCGGCCTTCACTCTAAATCTCTTGCAAAAGTTATGGCAATGGGCCAGCAACGGTTCCAAACGCAATGCCTACGAGAAGAACCGGCTTTCTCCTGTGGGGTTATTAAGTGGCGTTTTCACCCAATAAGAATGTGACTCTTTGGGTGCTGCTGAACTCCATCTCCCACTGTCCCTCCTCAAAGAGGCTGCTGTGAGGACTAAGGGACAGAAAGTCACATCTCTGGAGTGTGCTTCTTGATAACCTGGTAACCTGTCACTGAAAGGAACATGCCCCTTTCTCATGAAAAGGTTATGGAAAACCAGCCACCCAAATCCCTAAAAACTTCCTCTATGGCTGGATGAGCTGCTGATACTTCTGTGGATCATTGGGGCACAGTGTTAACCTAAGAATTTCTCCACTGAAAAAAGGTAGGAGAATTATCTTTTGGAAGCCCATTTTGTCACAGCCATTTTGCTGACCTGCCAACACTTTAAACAATGCCATCCTTGCATTCATGCATTATATTAATGTTTTCATTATCAATACAGTATATAGCCACGTGATATTAATTTTAGCTCCTTTCTCTAGATTCCCAGCTGAGTGTGAGACAAGCAGTCCTCGGCTTATGACCACATTTGGGACCGGAACTTCCTTCCCACTTAATGGGATTCATTAAGTGAGTCATCACATGACCACACCTGATTGCACGACCTTTTCTGCCAGGATTGTTAAGCAAATCACAATGATCAGTGATTTCCCTCACTGACTCCGCTTGTCATAAGCTGAGTGGGAAGGACACAACTGGCAATTACACGATCCTGCTATGCTGCAACTGTTGTGAAAACATGCCCAGCGGCCAAATTTCAATCACGTAAAAGCAGGGATGGCTGCAACTGTTGTAAATGAGAGAACCGATCATACGTCACTTTTTTTCAGTGCCGTCGTAACTTTGAACAGTCACTAAATGAATGGCTGTAAGTTGAGGACTATCTGTAATTACATATGAATCAGATGGTGGGAGCAGGGAGGAGACTACCTATGTGGATGGCAACAGATGTAATAAATGGTTGCCACCAACGTAGAAGAACTGGCTCATTGACTCATATGCACAGAGGAAAAGACAGCCCCTAGGAGTGACTATGCGGAGAATGGATGAGATGAGAATATCCCAAGAGAGCAATAATTGCAGCATGTAGGAGAGTGTTGTTTTTCAAATTGTAACTCAATTCCACTAAGGCAGGGGTAGGCAACCATGGCTGGCTCAGGAATTCTGGGAGTTGAAGTCCACGAGTCATAAAAGAGCCAAGGTTGCCTACCCCTGCACTAAGGCATTACCTTGTGTATTTCAGAAATTCAATATAGTCCTCTAGTATTCAAGCTCTATTAAGCTTGAATGGTTACTGTAGTCCTCTGCCGTTCACAGACATAAATTGCAAAGCCTTTTTTACCCATTCTAACCCATTCGGGGCACATTTTTCCAATTCAGATCACTCTATCTGCTTAACCATATATGAACAAATGGCATCCTCTTGCAGTCTTCAATATTCCCTTCACGTGAGTAATAACAAATAACACTTCATAACATATAACAATATTTCTCCATTAGTCCTCACCAGGAAACTGTGTCTAATGGCTTTCAGACAAGGTGGATTATTAAACTAACTTTTCATATTCCAGCCTGTTCGAATGTCATTAACTATAATTTTCCACTGCAGACACCGCTGAGTCAACAAATGCTGGTCCCACTTCAGACATCACTATGTTGCCACACATCACGAGAACTGTGGAACCCCTTGAGTTTATCTAAAAAAAAAAGACCTGCAACATCTCTTAATGTTTAATTCAACAGTTGCTGCACACACACAAAAAGCTCTATATCAGAATTTTACCACGGAGGTAAGAGGGAGTTTAATTTTGTACCTTCCACATATTGAAATGAACTGATAATTTGCAAAAGTGGAAAGCAATCTAGGTAACAAGAACCAACCTGAGAAAATATATAGATATATCACCATTTAGAGACAGGGTTCCAATCGGTACTCTTCCCCTTGTTTATTTTAGCAATTCTAAAGTAAACCAAATTTATTTTAGCAATTCTAAAGTAAACCAAATCAGATGTTGCATACTGATTGCAAAGCAATTGGACACACGGCTATGCAGAAATCTGAACCTCGGATAAGGATGCCAAGGGTTTAAGCCTTAGCAGTGATGCTCTCTGTGCAGACCTGGATATTGCCCTATATAGAAATTGACTTAATAATAATAATAATAATAATAATAATAATAATAATAATAATAATAATAATAATAATAATAATAATAATAAAGTTGGAAGGGACCTTGGAGGTCATCGAGTCCAACCCCCTGCCCAGGCAGGAACCCTACACAATTTCGGACAAACGGCTGTCCAGTCTCTTCTTAAAAACTTCCAGTGTTGGAGCATTCACCGCTTCTGGGGGCAGGTTGTTCCACTGGTTAATTGTTCTAACTGTCAGGAAGTTTCTTCTTAGTTCTAGGTTGCTTCTCTCCTTGATTAGTTTCCACCCGTTGCTTCTTGTCCTGCCTTCAGGTGCTTTGGAGAATAGCTTGACTCCCTCTTCTTTGTGGCAGCCCCTAAGATATTGGAACACTGCTATCATGTCCCCCCTCATCCTTCTCTTCATTAAACTAGACATACCCAGTTCCAGCAACCGTTCCTTATATGTTTTAGCCTCCAGTCCCCTGATCATCTTTGTTGCTCTTCTCTGTAATCTTTCTAGAGTCTCAACATCTTTTTTACATGGTGGTGACCAAAACTGGATGCAGTATTCCAAGGGTGGCCTTACCAAGGCATTGTAAAGTGGTATTAATACTTCACGTGATCTTGATTCTATCCCTCTGTTAATGCAGCCCAGCACTGTGTTGGCTTTTTTGGCAGCTGCAGC